CCTCCGCCGGCGTCGTTGCCCCTAGGTGCCCCGGCCTCCCACAGCACGCTTGTCCAGGTTGCGGCGCCGGGGAACTAAGCAGCACGTTGAGCAGCCGTTGGGGTGCTAGCGGCGCGAGCGTCCGTCGGGGCGCAAGACAACCCCCCCGGCAGAACATCACCCAACGACCGCAGCACCGCAGAGCAGCCGGAACCAGCCTTGACGGTCTCCACTATATATTTCTTCGACCTGCGGTCGAATCTGGTGACCTCCCACGGAATTTCTTCAGCAAGAGCGTCGATGGCGAGGTTCATGTTAAACCGGCGCGCGTAGTGCGCCGCGGCGTTGCGGTCGCTGTTAGAATGGTTGACCTTCTTGTTCCTTTGGTGCGCAGCTTCGCCCGTGCTGGCATCAGGCATGTCGCCTGCCAACGCGTATATGTACGGGTACAACAAAACATGTCCCCACCGCATCACATAGGAGAAACGCAAAAAGGGGGGGGGGGATCGGCGTTCCACACGGATCGGCGATCAAATAACATTGCACGTACAAGAAAATAGAATAAGGCGGGTCGTTCTACTCGGACAGTCTCAAGAACCTGAGAGAAACTTCACCATGGTCTTCAATGGCCTGGACGTAGTGCAGAGCAGAGTGCACGGTTTTCCTCACGCCTCCCCTCCCTACCAATTCCTCATACACCCCCACCTGCACCACAACACACACAAGAAAAAAGGGAAGGCCATTTTGCAATGGAAACTGGTGCGCACTTGAATGACATGATCAGAAATGCGCTTGTTGCTGGCGCGAGGACTATGTACCAGCAGAAACTTTGGGTTAATATTTTATTTGTCGTACACCCGGACCTGGGCGGACGATGTTTAAAACATATTTTTGTGATCTACCGTCGCCCTCGTTTAGTCCATGGGAGGGGGGGGGGTGTGCAACAAACATGAAATGGGCACATTTTTGGAGGGGCAATGGTTACAAGAGACGCCGCGAGGAAAACGCCAAGAAGGGCGTGGGGATATAACGTTTGTTCGAGCTTTGGAGAAATCCGAAAGTTCCACCAAAGCAAAGGAGCTTATGCAACAAGGGGCAACAAATCAACGAGATTTTATTCGGGGCGGAGGTGTGAGGTCTCTATGCGAAAAAGGAAACAATCGGAATTCCGAAGTGTCAAGCCTAGGCATTCTCTGGTATATATAGTGTAGCAAGGACAATTGGCTAGGGTCAAAGCTTGGTAGACAACTTGCACGGTAATCTGCCAGACACGGTACGACAATTGTCTCTGAAGGCCCTCACCGTGTCCCGGGCATGCTCCATGAGCTTCTTGCGTTCAGCCTCATTGAAGGACGGCGAACGAACTGCGAACGTCAGAGCAGACGCAACTTGCAACAGCTTCCGTAGTTGCGCCAACACGGCCTGCTCTCCTCCCCATGTGTCTTTCAAGGCTTGTAGCTCTCGCGGCTTCACGTACTCATTCTGCGCAAGATGGACGCGAAAAGGTGCACAAAAAAATATGGTGCTTAGATCTCGGTCGTTGTGCACATAATCTCCGCAACCCTACGGTAGCTCATCATAACGCACCCGTCGATATTATCGAAAATTTGCAGGGGGCCGCGGGCATAACATTTTAATCGTTAACTGGTAAGCAGTATTTTTACGAGAACCATGGCATTTCGCATGAACCCGCAAAACAACCCGCGCCCTCTCGTGTAGGCAATAGACAACAATATTACCAGTGGTGTCGCGTCATGGAGGACACAGCGGGACACAAGAAGTAGGATCTATCCCAATAGCCATTTGTCACTACCCTTGAGGGAGGAATAGTTGGTGCATATGTCTTTCAATGGTGCTGGAGCTGGTGGGTACAGCGTGCTGCCTTGCCGTACGACGGAAGAGATCACTCCCTGGCCAGCTTCGTTCAGGAGGGCCAGAAAAACAAACTACACCAACGTCTGCGCCCCCTGCGGGAAACAGTGTACAGGACGAGCACAAAAAGCTGTGTTTTCAAGGGGTGCTTGCACGGTGGATGAGGTTTCCCACGAGACACAACATTCAGGCCGCTGACACAAAACACATTACATGTGCCCACATGTATGCGTCAAACTTACACACAACGCTGTCTACTTTTAGACGCGAGGATGTCAGGCTATACATGCATTCTGTGCCCCATTGGATGAGTTTCACAACGAAAATCAACAATAACAAACACGATGCCAGAATGGAACCTTCCGGCATTGTGGCCGGG